TTCAAGTACAATTTCGTACAACTCAAATGAATCTGTAAGCCAATGACAAGTAATTCCAAGATAACTATCATGGGCACGTGAAGACCAAATATCAAAAGTTAAAGAGACAGTGTCTGACATCCTTGAAATAAGATCGATAATTTGCTTTACTGCTGAATTATAAGAGTCAAATATGATCGTTTTTATTGTATTAACACATGGCATTTTAAAGTGAGAATCAAATTTTTTTAACAAAAGTTTAAAGTCATCAATTTCAACAAGATAAATTGGCTGGGCACGTGAAACTATATATCGTACAACTTGATTTGTAAGCTTTTTTTGAATAAGAACAGGATGGGGTTTCATAATTACTTGTTGAATAGTTTGTTGGTGAACCTTTACTGACTTATTCGCAAGAGATTCCTTGGCAACATAATGGATATCCCTAAGATGATTTATTAAATTACTTGTTGAACCTAACCATAAATACTCTGTATCGCATTCTTCAAATAAACATTGAACTTTTTCGACTTCTTCTTCTTGATTATTTAATAAAACTGCTGAAAAATATTTTTTAAAAAAATTGCCATACGAAACTTCCTGGCTTCCTTTTTTTTTTGTTCTAATACTACTCAATTTTGAGGTAGACATTGATGTCGAAGCTAATTCTTCATTATTGCTGCTATTTCTTTCTTCATTGTTATTATCAGATAAAGAATCGAACTCATCACTATACAAATTTTCCATTGTAGATTCTTCTATCTAGATATTACCACAAAGATGACACTTCTACCCTTTTATATTATAATATTGGTGTAAAAGTACTTACATATTATATGGGTTTCATACAAGACAAAAACCTAGATTTGAAAAAATTTAATGTTTACTTTTATTTGATATTGTCTTCTTTTTTTACATAATAATAGATTTAGCTTTTATGAATCAAAGGCACTTACGTTTTACCCAAGAAAAAAAAAATCGAATATAAGCTAGCAGGTTTGTAACTAGTATATTTAAATGTTTTTTTGTTCATTTCAAATTCTTAGAATAATTTTCCTTGTGCTTTTTTTTTTTTTATATAACAACATTTGATTTTTATGAATTAAGCAATTCAATTATTAATAAATTGAATGCTTTCATCTTACCTCAGATTAAAGTAATTATGGCTTTTGTTTTTTTTTTTTTTATTGACAACTTCCTCTTACTTAATCAACAACCCACACTTATTACGTGATGGCAAGAAATAATTTAATAATTGTTAAAGAAAAAAATTTTTCAATATTTTTTTTTTAAAATATAAGTTATGTTATGCATATTCGATTAACAAAATTGGTAGAGTCAAATGTAAATTATAAATAAACTATGCATGCATGACACCGTTTAATGAATATCGTTTACCAATCAACAATTGCGATTATATGATTGTACTTCATATTATGTCACGATTAATAAGATAGTTGTTTAGTTGATAAATATAAATCGATTTAGTTGACAACTATTTGATAACTAACGATTAATCGTAATCAAACCAGTTGATGATAAATCGATTAGTTGTTTAAATTTTTTTCAAATTGATTAGTTGAAAAGTTGTCAACTAGTTGGTTTTTCAACTAACAATTTGGAACACTACTGAGAAGGCTATTTCTAAGAGAGCCCATTTGCCTCTGATAATGTGAGTTTTTGCTGCTAGCATATCTTCTCCCAGTTTGATGTAGAGAGTTGAGATGATGTCATTGGTAGGTATGTTGGTAAGCTTAAAAATGTCAAAAACAAGAGCATTTTCGTTCTTAGAATAGATCTTGTTTCTGGGTGCTGTGATAGAGAAGGTTGCTTTGCCTCCTTTTAGCTTCGAAAATAAATCTGACCATTGCTTGAGTTTGTTGTTAGCTGGTTTGTCATTCACATCATTTGATGTTGTGCTATCAATAATTTTGTCTTGTGTATCAATTTTGTCATATGTGATATGCATATGTTTTGTATCTGTTTGTTTGTTGTTTTCTGTATTTGCTACTGCATATGTCTTGTTTTTTACCTTGTTGTTTTCATTTGTAGAAGAAGTAGCTTTTTGTTTGCCTCTACCAACTGGTTTTTCTTCTTGTTCTATGTTACTGGCCCAGTTTTCATCACCTTGGTTGTTGTTTTTACTTGGTTTACTATTTGGTAAATATGGCATGTTTGCTGTTTCTGCTTCTATAATAGGAGTTTTTTCTTGTTCTGATGACAAGTCAAAGTCCTTTTTTTTGGCTCTAGTGTCAAGAAGTTTTGGTCTCTTGGGTATCAAGCTGCTCATGTTTGACAGAAATAAGTTTCTTTTCTTGGGTATAAGGCTTTAGCCCTACCAGAGGAGTTTAAAAAAAAGTTTTTATTTAGTTTTTGTGAAATTTTGTTATTTTTGTGTTGTTACCAAAAGTGTACCAGAAAGAGTTTTTTTTTTTAATTTTTTTTTTTAAAAAAAATAAGAAATGGTGTACTTTATTTAATAAATTACAAATACATTATTATTATACTAATTAACACTATTTATTCATAATTAGATTCAAGAATCTAGTTATTTTGGCTTTGCCTTACTTTTAGGCTTTTAATGATCTTGGCCTTTATAATGTTCTTTATAGCTTCTTTTGAAATAATGTTGTTTCTCCATTTTGCTTGAGTATACCATAACTATATTTTATATATTATCATGATATAAAGCCAGAGTGCTAACTTTCTTTTTTCTAAACCTTTTACATTTGAGGCATTTAGAATTTCTTCTATTGACTAAAGATGTTTTTCTTCTAGTTCTGTTTGAAAAAAGGTATATTCTTTCTTCTAGAAAATTTGACTAATTCAATCATTAATGGCAAAATGGCTTGGAATTTGTTTTTAATTCATACAGTTTAAACAGTTTTCATTAATTTCTTTGTTGATATGCATAAAATGATATCCTAGTAATAACACATTGTTCTGTGTTGTAGTAGGTTTTATCAAGTATTGTTTTAAAAATTCCATAGCTCTTTGTACTGAAAATTGATTTTTAGAGGTATTACAGACTTTTAATTGTGATATAGTCCATGGCCAATTGTTGGTTGCAAAAATGCTTTCTTTAAGTCTCTTCTATGCAGTTAGGTATGACTTTCAGTAATCAGGCCACTCTTTAAGCCTTATTGGCATTTTGGTAAGAGCTGTTATTACAGTTGAATTTCTTTTAGTTTAAAGACTTTGAAAAATAAGTAATCTTTTGATTTTGGCCCATAAGCTATTAGCTGAGAGAAGTTTTAACCAAATTGAGGTAAGTCTGGAGTCTAAGATGTCTTTGAGTACTAAAGCATCAAGACTTCTACTGTTGTAGTCCAGTTGAAATGCCAAATATCTTGGTAGTAGCTTAAACTTGTTCTTAATTCATTTAGATATAAGCATGTTTATTCTATTTAGTTGTTTTCTACTAGGTGGCAGTAGGTACACCATGTACAAATTTTTGAGATAAAAAGAGATTTGGATAGTAGAATCTTTCCTTTGAAAAATAAATTTCTTGTGGAGATTTTTTCTATTTTACTCTTAATGCCTTGAGTTATTCTTTTTCAAACTTGTTTTGGTAAATCATCTTTGATATTTACTTCAAATTCTAGAATTCTTAGCTGACTGTCTTCATTTGCAATTTAAAAAGATTTTGGTTTGAAAGGCTGATCACCTTGGCCATAGTCATTATTGGTATTAGAACTGATTTCTTAAAGTTAATTCTGGCATTCACTGTTGCTTCAAATTTCTGAAGTGTTAGTAAGAGCCTTTTCCAATCTGGCTGTGAACCAATTCCTACTAGTAAGTTATCTGCATATGCAGCATTTTGAAATAGTGTTCTGTGATTTGTATGCCAACTAGTTTTTCTTGAATTTTTAAGATTAAAGAGTTTAGAGCTATAATATAAAGGAGAGGTGAGAGTAGGTCATCTTGCCATATACCACTTTCTACTGTTATTGCCTCTGATCTAAAGTCTGCATCTGAGATGTGTGCTGTCTATGAGCCAAGAAGAGACCTAATGATTCTTGTGAATCTGTTGTCAAATTCTATATTCTCCAGTACTTGAAAAATAAAGCTGTGACTAATTTTGTCAAAGGCTTTTTGCTAGTCTAGTAAGAGAATCCAATAAAAGAGAGTTTGATCATTTTGATTTCTTAGTATGATAATAATGTCTAGTGCTATATCAATAATAGATCTTTTTTTATAAAGGCTTGTTGGGCTAGACCAATCAGCTCTTCACAAATTAAGTTAATTCTGTTAGCCAAAACTTTCATAAATATTTTACTATCTCAGTTTGTTAGCAAAATTAGTCTCTAGTTGTTTAAATCAAAAAGATTACTGGACCTTTTGGGAATTAAGGTAATAATGCTTTTGGTTCATGATCTGAGAACTGTGCCAGTTCTCAGACAGTAGTTGAACAAGTTAACAATTATTTGAAGAATTTCATCTTTAATTTCTTTATAGAATTCATAATTCAAACTATCTGATCTTGGTGTTTTGTTGTTTGGAAGTTGGCTGATTACAGCATTTACTTCTTCTATTGAGATGTCTTTAGTCAAAGCTTGATTATACAGCATTGATACTGGTGGTAGGCTTTGCATAAAAAAGTTTATTGCTTTTTTTCTACCTCTTCAGCTTTGTAAATCTCTTGATAAGCCTCTTTAATGTAATGTAGAACATTTGTAGGATTCTGAGATTGACTGCTATTGAAAATTTGGACTTGGTCTTTAGCTGATGTATTGTTTCTAGTTTTGTAGAAGGAGTAAAAAAATCTAGTAGATTTTTTACCTCCTTTTATTCATTTTACATTTGATTTAGTTTGCCATTTGTCTAAAAGTGCTTAAATTTCCTCTTGCAACTAGATGTTAATATTTTCACTCAGTAATAGTAGCTTATCTGATTTTTTTTTTTAGCAATTTTATTGTTTATTTTGGTAAGTTTTTTTTGAAGTTTTTGGATTTTCTTTTCTGGTGAGGGCTGGAGTCTAAAGGCCCTTGTAATTAATTGGATCCTACATTTGTATAGGTTCCATTTGGAGAAGTTTGTTATACTTTGAGTTTCTTCTATTATTTCTGCTCTAAGCAATGGGTTGTTCCAACTATTTTTGTCAAATCTCCATTGTCTGGCCTTGGTGAAGTTAGAAGTTAACTGAAGCTCACAATCTACTAGCAGGTGATCTGAGTTTTCAAACTGAGTTGCAATATTTTTGCAGCAATGTCCATAATTAGCATTAATAAAAATATAGTCAAGTCTTGTAGTCATTCTTCTACCACCCCTAGTATTTTGGTAATAAGTTATAAAAGATTCCTCTCTCTGCTTTATACTTGCTATGTCTATAAACTCCGAGGTAAGTTTTTTGAGAATTTCTCTTGTGGGATCCCTAGTTGGAGGTAAGATTAGTATTAAAATCTTCTGCTATAATGTTTATGCATCTGTCATCTACTTGAAGGGCCCAATTGTTGAAGAAGGTAGATCTGTCCTCAATATTTGGAGATGCATAAATATTAGTAAACTTGAAGAGTTGTTGCTTGTAAGTTAGTTCTGCAATAATAAGTTGCCTATTATAAGAGTTTTGAGTTTTGGTAAATAAGATGTTTTGGTTGCCTGCCAGTATTGCAGTTTTCAATGTCTAGTAGGAGCAAAAGTCTCACTGTTGTTGCAAAAAATTCCTGGTATTGAGGTTCTCTAAATTTGTTTCTTGAAGCATAATTATATCTAAATGATATGATTTTAGTAGTGTCAATGTTCTGTGTGCTTTATCTATATTGTTTAAACCTTTAACTTTTTTTTTTTTTTTTAAAATATGAAATGATGTACTTTATTTAGTATACTAAAAATACATTATTAACAAACTATTTAGTTAATCTATTTATAGTTTTTTGGTTTTAAGAACTTGACCATTTTGGCTTTTATCTTATTTTTAGAAGTATTGTATAAAACTTTTAAACTTTTTTGAATTTTTGCTTTTGAAATATTCTTTATGGCTTCTTCTGATATAATATTATTTTCTTATTTGGTTTGAGTATACTATAGCCAGATTTCATATACCATTGTAATATAAAGCCATAGTGCTGCTTTTTTTTTTCTTGGTTTTTTATATTCGATGCTGTATTTCTTCTAAAAATTGCGGGCACTTTTCTCCTGCTTCAGTTTAAAAAATATTGTAACTTTCTTTCTAAAATGCTTGACTTATTTTACAATTCATGGCAAAGTGACTCATGGTTTGTTTTTTATCTATACAATTTAGACAGTTTTCATTTATCTCTTTGTTAAAGTGCATAAGGTGATATCCCAATGGTAATGCATTATTTTGAAGTCTCCAAAAGATACTCTTCTTCTTGTTAAGTATGCCTTTGTACTAAAACCAACTGAAAGTCTTTTTAGTGCCATCTTGTAGGCTTGGTAATACTTGTAAAATAGTAGACTTTATTGAGCATTGTTTGAGAAATTTAGTAGCTCTTTGTACTGTAAACTGGTTTTATATATTTTCTCCAACTTTTAGCTATAAGACATTTCATGACCAATTGATGGTTGCTAAAATAGTTCCTTTAAGTCTCTTCCATGCTGTTAGGTATGGCTTCCAGTGATCCAGCCACTTCTTAAGCTTTATTGGTATTTTAGTAAGAGCCACTAGTACAGTAAGATTTCTTTTAGTTTGAAGGCTTTGTAAAATTAATGTTCTTTTGATATTAGTCTATAAGCTGTTTATTAAAACTAACTTAATTTAGATTGAGGCAAGTCTAGAATCTAAGATGTCTTTAAGTACAAGAGCATCTAGTTCTCCTCTGTTATAATCTAGCTGAAATGTTGAGTATTTTGGTAACAGTCTAGACTTGTTTTTAATCCAGCCTAAAACTAGTGTATTAATTTTGTTTAGCTGTTTTTTGCTAGGCGGTAATAAATATGCTATATACCATATTTTAGAGATAAGTAATGATTTGGACAAAAGGATCTTTCTTTTGAAGGACAGGTTTCTGGTTGAGATTTTTTCTATTTTGGTTTTAATATTTTGAATTATTGTATTCTAGACTTGTTTTTGCAGATCTCCTCTAATATTGACTTCAAATCCTAGAATTCTTAGCTGGCTGCTTTCATTTGCAGTTTTGAAAAGGTCTTGGTTCAGAATGCTAATTTTTTTAGTTTCTGATGTCATTGGGATGAGAATAGACTTTTGGAAGTTGATTTTAGCATTGGCTGCTACTTTGAATTTTTAGAGAATCACCAATAGCTTTTCCCAATCCTGTTAAGAACCAATTCCTATTGTCAAGTCATTAGCATATGCTGCTGCTTTAAATT